CACCCTCCCGCCCAACCAGGCTCGGAGCTGGGCGGGGGGTGGGCGGGGACGCGTGGCAGGGTTGGCCAATGGGATACCAGGTCTTGTTAGGGCGGGGCGGAGGGCGTGTCCTCGCCGCGCGGGGCTGCGGGGGGCGGGCGACGGCGGGGTCCGGCGGCGGCGGTGGCAGCGGAGGGCGGGCGCCCACGGAGCGATACTGGCCCGGCCTGGCCGGCAGGTACGTGGGAAGGGAGGGGGGCTCCGGGTCGAGCCTGGTGCGCGGGCCCGACCTGGCCCCGGCAGCCCGTCGGTCTCTCGGGGCAAGCACCGGGGGGGGTCTGGGTCTGGTGGGCCTCCGGCGGGCGCAGGCCGGGTAGGCCCCGGCCCGGCTTGAATTAAAGCCCCGCTGGGCGACGCTCGCAGGCCTCGGCCTGGCCCCGGCTGCGCCTCGCACCTCTCTCAGTGCAACCACGAGGCGCCGGCAGCCCTCGTCTGGGGAGCGCCGGGGGTGCGGCCTCGCTCCCGCATGTGGCCGGCGGGGAGAACTGGGGCAGGGATGAAGGAGCGCACCTCGAGTCTCTTCAGCGGGTTGCAGGTGCCGCCTTTTACTGGGGGAGCTCCCTCCCCCGGGACACGCAGGCCGGGTAAAGCCAGAGACTGGGAAGCACGGGGCTCAGGCTGCTGGAGGAGCTCCTTCTATGGAAAGTGAGGCGGGTGTGGAGGAGACCCGGGAGCAGGTATTCAACCAGGCGTCCTGGTCGGAGAGACTGGCAGAAGGCCGTCCTGGCTGGTTTCACCAGAGAAACCAGCACTGGTGACTGGGGCTCTGCCAGACTCCATCTGGGCGCTCTCCCACTGCCCTGCCGCTCATCCTTTCCTGGCCTCTCAGCACCCTTCGGCAGCAGGCTCCAGCAACAGTCCTCAGGCTCCTCTCTGCGTGGGCCACACTGTCTGCCCGTGGGGTGAGGTGAGGGAAGTGTGTCACAGACGCTGCTGACCCACTGTGCAGGGAGGGGATGCGTTCAGCAAAGCCGTGGGGTGGGGGCAGACCGGCTTCTCCCTGCTAAGCCTGCTCTCGCCCACTCAGACAGCACGATCTCCACTCCAGCAGACCGTGCAGGGGATGGGCACAGTGGTCCTGCACGCTGCTGTTGCTCCCGAGAGACCTCCCCAGCCCAGAGGCAGGTGGCACAATGTGCTGTCTTTGCAGATGGCAGTGACTGGAAAGTGGTTTCTCAAATTTACCTAAAAAACTAGACCAGCCTGCGCTGCAGGGGCTTGGAATGCAGCACATGGGTGGGTTTGGGCTAGGAGGAGATTGCCCTCCCCAGCCCAGGTTGGCCTGCCCCCACCAGCTATGTTTATGGGGGACGGGATGGGGCAGCAGTAGGCTCAGTGTGGTGTAGCTGGCTCCTGGCTTGTGCCCTTCAGATATTTTGTTACGTGCCGGCTCTTCAGGTTTCAGCCTGGCGTGCAGTGACAAGTCAGATATTGCTACAGGAGCGTCTTGGCCAGGTAGGAAAACTTCTCTCTGCATCTGACGCAGTGACTGCTTGACGGGATGCACGCTGGAGTCTGTGTCGCTTTGGAGTGTGGTTGATCTGGATCCTTGTTCCTCTGTTAGCCTTGGCCATAGAGGCTACAGAAAAAGACTGCCTCAAGTCCTCACTGCTGTTTGTTTGGTTCCTAATAGCCTGAGACAAAAATGCGTGTTACAGTCTTGCATTGAAAACATCCATGTTTCCTTTCTGTGCAAAGAAGTCTGCAGTTCTTCCCTCTGGAGAGCTCCTGGACGACAAGTTGATGGGACAGCCCCTTTCCAGGCTGAGTAAGGAAGAGCCAGGCATGTGTACATGCTGTATCTAAGATGCACACATGTTCTTGCAGGATTCCCCACTACTTATTTGAGACAGGCAGAAAGCGCCAGCTGTACGCAGGTGCACAGTGTATCCAAGGGCTCTGTTAGAGGGATCTGGACTTTCATGGAAAGTTTCAGGCTTTTGTTCTAGAAAGCGAACAGCCAAGGGGGAAAACAGGCTTGTTCCCTTGAAGCAGGAGTTTGTTTCCCCCTTGCAGCTGGCCACAGGACTGTGACGCGAGACCCTTGGCTGTTCACCTCTGGGTCATCCATCACCGCTGCACTGGCCAGTCTGTGGCACCCTGGGGACCTCAATGGTGCAAGGACAGCGTCCATCTCCGGAGCTGGAGCTGTCATCGCACCGGCCTTTACACCAGTGTTAATTTGATCCATGCCGGTGTTGTAAGCAGCTGAAATCCAGGCTGTTGAAAGCCAGCTGCCAGCCAGCCTGGCCAGCACCCGTTCTCATTTGGTGTTGACAGGGCGTGTTTTGTCGGGTTTTGGTGGCCTGGAGGACAGTGCTGAGCCCCGGCAGACTGCGTCTGTCCAAGGGAGGGAGCAGCAAGAGCCAGCGTGGTCCAGCTGCCGAGGTGTAGACCTGAGCTTCTGAAATGTGTGTCAAATCACCACATCTGCCTTAGCCCTCTTGGCCTCTCTTTGCTTTGCTTCCCCATCCCTGCTGAGAGTGAAAGCGATGGTGTGGAGGGCAGACATCCAGTGCTAGAATGGGCGAAGCCTGTGAGCTGCCTGGAAAGGTACCTCCATGTCGGGCCTCCATCACAAACGGAGATAAAGCTGCTCCTGCAAATCTGGAGAGCCCTGGCGAAGCGTTCTGTTTGCTTCCTTAGTCTCAGTTTCCAGCTGTTGTGCTGTAGAAGTTGCACCACTGGCTTTCTGTACTCTCCGTTCTCTCTGCCCACATCCAGTCAGATAGGGAACACTGTCCCTGCCTTGCCCCGTGGATGTCCCTGTGCGGGAAGCCTGTGGTGCCTCTGTGGGGAGAGCATCTCCTGGCTGTGATCAGGAGGTTTCCCCTCCCAGAGCAGAAGTGGCTGCCGCTGCCTGGAGACTTGGAAGACGCTGCTTGGTGGATGTTCTGTTTGGAAGCCCTTAAAATTTCAGTTATCAGGTCCTTTAAAGAAATTACAGAATATTGCTGCTCATGGGCTCATGCGTGGTGTTGGCTGGCCATATCACTGCTGCAGTGTACTGTAGCGTTAATCCTGGTGAGCAGCAGGACCTGGTTTTGAGTTGTGAAGTGCAGAACGTGTTGTCTTTGCCTGAGATTTAAAAGTAGCTCAATGAAGAGCAGTGTTTGGGATGAATTTGAAATTAGGTTTTTTAGCATTTCTTGGACACAGCTCAAGAGTGGTGTTTGACGTTTCTAGTGCTTTCAAAATGACAGGGGATCTGGCGGCACTTCATTTTGTGCCTGAGCAAAGTGGGGGATTGTTCTTGTGGATGCAGATTAAAATAGTGCAGGATGAGATTATCCCCCAGATCGGAGATGGAAATAGGATGCAGTTCCTCAGCAACTGAGATAAATGGAAAGCTCCACATCTGCTGCAGGCTGCGAGCAGGGACTGGCACACCCCCTGAATAGCCCAGACGGTGTGAGAAGGGAGTACCAGGAGTCCAGCCTAACATTAGAAGTCCAGACTAACCAGGAAAACTTAACGCCCTGTAATTACAGAGGGCTGAAGACAGCAGGGAGCAGTGGGTGACTCCCCCAGGTCTGCAGCAGCTCGCCAGCTCAGCGCTTCAGCGTCGGTGGTAGGGAATAAAACCTGAAGCGCCAGTATAATAGGAAGGAGAAGCCTGGGGAAAAAATACTTGAAAGACGTCAGGGTGGTGATAGAGCGTGGGCTGGGCTGGAGCCGGGTTGCAGCTGTGCAGAAAAAGCCAGACCCAGTCACGCTGGGTTCCCCGGTGAGACCCAGCTGGAAGCAAAGCCCAGGGAACATCGCAAGTGCCATGCAGGGCAGCTGGCAACGCTCACGGCTACTGGAAAAGTCTACACGGCTGGGAGATAAAAAGTGCAGCTTGGGACTCTGAAGTGCAGAGGCCTTATCTGCAAACGGAGATTAGAGCAAGGTAATCTCTACGTTTACTGCGTGAGGCACAGGTGGGCAGGAGGAGAAGCTCGTGGAAGGAGTGAGGGTGTTGGAAGTGGGGCTGAATCTGTGGAGTCCAAAAAGTACCTGTGCAAGCTGGAATGTGAAAATCCACTCTCTTGGGAAATGAGGCTAATGAGCTGCCCTTCTCTAATTGCTGCTTCAGAGGAGTTGAGAGGTGGCCTGCAAAAGCATCCCGCCCTCTCCTCCCCTCCTTGCCCTGGCGCTGCCTGGGCACGGAGCAGTCCTGGGCTTCTGGTTGAGGACTTTAATCCAATTCACTCGGGCTCCAGTATGCGTCTTCTGTGGGAAGCATTTCTGCACTGGTTGAGGGGTAAAAATAGTGGGGCCTTTTTTTATGAATGCTCTACAAGTTGAAATTTGAGTGTTGTCAAACCCAAGGTGCAGCTGGGATGAGGGTGCAGCAGCTCTTGGGGATGCAGTACTAACCTCTCGCCTTCCCTCGTGGTGCCAGCCTTTGCAAAGCTCTAGCCATGCTCTGAAGCACTTGCAGGGCAGTTGGGAAGGAGAGGAGCCATGAAAGTGGACACAGAAAGAAGGGCTTGTGGTTTTTTTTTTTTCTTTCCTCAAGTCTGGGTTGCGCTGGGTGGGTTTTCCTGCTGAAAGACCAGCCCGTCTGCAAACACAATGATTCCCAAAGCTATTTTTAGAGCTGGGAGCCCTGGCTGGGCAGCCTCCTCCATCATGTAACCCGGCGCTCCCCGCTGAAGCAGCCTCCGCCGAGGTTTTGGCTCTGGCCGCGCCAGCCTGGGAGGGTAAGGAGGACCATATGTCCCTCCTCTTGAGCCAAGTGCACAGCTGTGCTCCATTCTCCCGTCTGGTGCTGACTTGTTAACTCTTTGGGGGCGAAGGGGAGGATTGTGGTTCATGCCATGCTTGGAGTAAGAAAGGGATGCTCTCATAGGGGCAGAAACCAGCCAGAAGTGGGACTTGTGAAGGGTCTTGCCTCCCAGGACTTCTTCACTCCTGCTGTGACTAACCCTGATTTGTTCTGCTGTGTATTATCCTCCTGAATTAGGTAAGGAAACAGTCTAATGGCCTGGAAAGAGCAGATAACCACGTGTGTAATTCTGGGATATTGAAGTGCGTTATCCAGATTATTAATAACTCGCCATGCCTTATGCTGCTCCCTCACAGGAGCCTGAAGCATTCCTGCATGTACACTATTCTTGTAGGACGGCTCATTCCGACCACAGTGCGATCTCGCTGTCTGCTGCCTCTTGTCCCTCTCCACCCAATGGACGG